ATCACTGAAGGAAATCAGAGCGGGAATGCAGAGATAGGGACCACAGGGGAATGCTACTTACCGCCTTGCTCCCAGGCTCACTTTCAGCTGTTTTTCTTATACAGCCCAGGCCCATCTGCCCAGGGGTGGCACCTTCCACAGTGGCCTTGGGCCCTCCTACATTAGTCAACAACCTAGAAAATGCCACCTGGATGTGCCTATGGGCCAGTTTGATGAAGGCATCTTCTCAATGAATTTTTCTCTTCCAAAATGACAAAATAGCAGGCAGGCAGAAAAATTGAAACCCAAAGGGATTGTAGCATGTTACTGCATGCTCTCAGCTAATGAGACTCACTCGGGTGGATTTAGTATTTAATGGAGGTCTTCTGGTTCTACACTGGAGGCTGCAGTCACAAAAGGAAGTTTGGCCCAACTTGGAGCAAATGGACCGCTGTTGCCTAGTTGTCCTCGACACACTTTCCTCGATGGTTTTCCTTGTGGAAGGTGAGTGTTTGATCACAAAGTCTTTCTCCCTTCAGCTCCAGCCCATTCAGTAGGTGGTCTGCTCAATGACAACGCTTGCTGCTCCAAATAGTGACACTGTTGCTTGTGACAGAAGGTGTGCAATGGCTGATCTTGATTGTCAACTTGAACGGGTCTAGAGTCACCTGGGAGGCAAATCTAGGGGTGTGTTCTCGAGGACGTCTCCAACTCAGGCTAACTGAGGTGGGATGACCCGCAGGAACTGTAGTGGCACCAGGCCGTGGGCAGGAGTCCTGGGCTGACAAAAAGAGCAGATTATGTAGCACGATTAATAAAAACCCAGAGACAGAAATTGGTTCAATCTGAAGGTCAGAAAAACAAAACAGTCAGCTACTGGCTCTTACCTTTACCTCAGTCCAAAATGATGATCCTACTTCCAGGAATCTCAGAATGAGACTGTGTGTGAGAGCTGTCTCCTCCTGTTTTATATTCCTCTCTAGGGCTGGGATTAAAGGCGTGCACCACTACGGCCTGGTTTTATGGCAAACTAGTGTGGCTACTGGGATTAAAGGTGTGTGTCACCACTGCCTGATCTGTAAGGCTGATCAGTGCAGCTGTTTTACTCTGAACTCTAGGCATTTTAATTAAATACAGATGAAATATCACTACAAGATTGGACACCAGCCTTTATCTCTTTCTCCTTTCTGGCTATGGATGGAATGTAACCAGCTTCCTCCCCTTCCTGCTTCCACGACTTTCCCCAAATGGCAGACCATATCCCAGAGCCGAAATAAACCTTCTATTCTGTCAGCCACTTCTGTCATCTTTCCTGTCAGAGCTCCAAGAAAAGCAACAAATACAGTCACCAACACAGCTGCATTTTCCCTGGGGATCCCTAGTTCCTTGCTGAAGCCAGAACTCTGTAAGCTCCAGTGTTAGTGGGAGGGTGAGGAGCTGAGTTCTCTGTCTTTCTTCGGACTATGTTGTTTCCAGTGAGCTGGGTGTCTAGGCAGTGGACTGGACATAATTGATGCTTTGTTGTGAAAACCGAACTGTTCTGTTTTTATATTCCATTTGACCGTGTCCTGGGTTGTCTTCTTGGTTCCGAGATGTGGTCCCATCAGCTCGCTCTTCTAACTTCCCGGGATCCATGAAAACTTTGGGCGGAGTCTTCTGAAGATGTCTAAGTATAGCTATCCTGACAATCCATTCTCTTCCACCCAGGCCTGGGTACCTGGGGTCAAACTGCTCATCAGGACCTATACTGTGCACTTGCAATGTTTGTGCTCTTGAGGGGGCAGGTCCTGTTATGGCTCATATCTTCATTCTCCTAAGCTGCTCTCTCGTGCAGAGGCCACCCAGTGTTGGTCCTGTTTCATGAGCACCACTTCACACTGCCCTCTCTCTGGGGTCTTTCTAAGCCTTTTTCCATGATGAATGCCCACCTTCGCCAGTGTATTTATGGATTTTTGTCTGCCTGGTTGTCCTCTGAGGACCCTTCTTCTCTTCCTCCCTGGAATAGAGGATGCTTCTCTTGCAAAGTCCATGGATTTTGAAGGCAGGACTGGGAATTTAGCTTTGCAGGGCTGCTTCAGGGCTTCCTATTTTCCCACATCCCAATCCTGTTCTTCCCCAGCTGAGGCTTGTCTTGTCCCTTGGTCAGACACTGTCATATAGAGACTGATCATTTCTTCAAATAACTGGCATTTTCTGCTCCCCCTGGAGTTTTGCATTTATTTGTAGTAACCTCAGGACCACATGGACAACCTGTGCAACTCCATGGCAGGGTCCTGAGCCCCACTACTGTGGGTCTTTACCCCATTTAGTGCTGAAGGCTCAAGTCAACGCCTGTCCTTCAAGCATTCTATTTATTTATTTATTTATTTATTTATTTATTAAAGATTTCTGTCTCTTCCCCGTCACCACCTCCCATTTCCCTCCCCCCTCCCCCAATCAAGTCCCCCTCCCTCGTCAGCCCAAAGAGCAATCAGGGTTCCCTGCCCTGTGGGAAGTCCAAGGACCACCCACCTCCATCCAGGTCTAGTAAGGTGAGCATCCAAACTGCCTAGGCTCCCACAAAGCCAGTACATGCAGTAGGATCAAAAACCCATTGCCATTGTTCTTGAGTTCTCAGTAGTCTAGAAACTCTTCTTGTATTTGTATTCAATATGCATCTTGGCTTCCTGGAGGGTGGCCTCTGATCCTAGCCAGTATTTGATCCTTTGAGTTACCCTGTCCTTTCTCTACCCCTACTTGGGAATGCTCTTTATGGGATATTGGCTGAGATAAGCATTCTTTGTTCCTAGACTTTGACTTCTCAACCAAGAGTTTGATAAGTCTGAATCAAGGTTCTACCTCACATAAAGAGCACAAAACAAAAAAGGACAATGTCCTTATTTTTATCAACCCTTCACATATACACGTACATTCTTGGTCACCTTCCTCCTAGCCTTCTTCAGGTCTGCAACGCAGGGCGTTCAGATCAGTGTTCCACTGCCTACGACCGAGGCAGGGTGACTGCGAGAAGAATAACAGATGTCCATAAATAAATCTCCTAACTGTAACTGTGATTGTCAAGCTCATAAATTCCTGGCATGTGGGAAGATCAGCGCCAGCTACTACTCTGTCATCTGATCGACAACGTGCCTGGATAGAAATCATCTCAGAACAGATTGTATGTTATAATTAAAAAAAACAAAACACATTCTGTGTGGACATGTGGGCCAAGCTGTCCATCTCTGCACGAGTGAGATTTCTGATGTGCTGGATTCAAATACGCTCACAGGTATTAGAAAGTTTGAACTCTATAGTTACTTGAAAAGTATTTTTCTTTTATTTCAAAATCTTTGTGTGTGGGTGTGAGTTTGTGCAAATGTGAATACTGGCCCCTGAGAGGCCAGAAGGAGGAACTGGATTCCCTGGAGCTGGACTCACAGGTGGGTGGCATGTGTGACCGGGGTGCTGGAAACCGAACCCCAGTCCTCTGCAAGCCCAGTTTGTGCTCTTAATCACTGGGTCATTTCTCCTCCCCCACCCCAATATTAACCCTTTAAAACTAATGTTATTATTATTTTATTTTATGTGTGTGGGTATTTTCCTGCATGGTTATATGTACAACATGTGCATGCCTGGTGGCCAACGAAGTATGTATGTTGAATTCTGCAATCCAGCACCTAGAATCTTCTGGAAGGGCAGCCAATACTCTTAACCACTGAGCCATTTCTCTAACCACACTTTTTTGAGACAGCATTTCACTATGTATCCCTCATCTGGCCTGGAGCTCACTGTGTAGACCAGGCTGGCCTTAGACTCACAGAGATCCCCCTGCCTCTGACTCATGAGTGCTATGATTAAAGTTGTGTGCTGTTGTGCCGACTTGTTTATTTGAGACAAGGTCTCATTTTGTAGCCTGCCAGCCTGGAACTCAGGCTCTAGCCTCAGTCTCACGCAGGGCAGTTTTTGTGCCTCAGCTTCCCCAGTGCTCGGGTTACAAGCTTGTGGTACTGTACCACCTTTCTTTCCTTTTAGGATAATTCAGGGCTTTGTACCCTGTTCCTGTTAATTGCACTTTGTAACACTGAGATATAGCTTACTTTAAACAAGAGAAGAAAAACCTTCTACAGAATGAGGTTTCTTTATATGGGTTGAAATCAAATCTTTACAGCAACATTTTCTGCAAACTCAATTAGAGCTTTTAACCCTGCCCCTCCCCCCGCATTGGCCCAGCCCTGTTTATGATGCCAGGCAGAGCTGTGCCTACAGACTTGTACCTCAACTGAATGAAATGATAACACAAAACCAATACTAAGATTGTAAAGTAAGTTCTGATAAGTGTCAGTATTTTGTTAATATTTGTTAATATTAGTATTTGTTCATCACTTTCCTATTTACTCTGCAAAACCAGGAGGAAAATCCTATTGTATAGATGAAGAAAACGGAAGCACAAATACTTTGCCCGCATCTATAAACATAGGGGTCACTCAGGAGAGACATCCTGGGCATCCCCTCTTCTCCTACCGCCTTTCTTGTAGGAGTTGAAAATATAGCTGGACTAAGGATGGGGAAGATCGGAGACCCTTAAGTTCTGGGATGTTTTAGCTTCATCTTGCATCCTAGGTAGACAGTTTGGGGCTTTAACTTGTGTCCAATGGACCAGATTCTGACTCTAGAAGGTCCCAAGTGTGGCCTGGCTCAGGGGAGGTCCCTGCAAAAGAGCCACCTCATCCTTCTGCTGATTCAGTTCCAGGTCCTATTTTCTCATGGAGGAGACTGGAACTAAGACAACAATGCTTAAAGGCTCTGCCATTTCATATACTTAAACAGTGACAGTAGAATATATATTACATATAATATAATGGATATGTCTGTCTGTCTACCTATTTATGGCTGGGACATAGAGCCCAAGTCCTCTCATGTGCAGGTCAGCTGCTCTGTGACTGAGTTACACTTCCGGGTCCTTCATCAGTCAAGTTTGATGAAGTCCAAAGGATTCTTTAAGCCCACTTTGACTAGCCTCCTTTGTCTTTTTCCTGTTGCAGGCCACCGAGGACCATGTGACCAGTCTCTAAAATGTTTAAGCTCGAAGATTTCTGAGCGAAAGCTGCAAGGCTCCTGGCTACCTGCTGGGCGAGGACCTCTGGAGAAACCCGTCCTGGGGCCCCGCGGTGCCATCATGCCCCTGTTCAGTCCTCAGAGTGGCCTTCACTCAGTCCGTGCTGAGCACAGCCCGCTGAAGCCCAGGGTAGTGACGGTGGTGAAGCTGGGTGGGCAGCCCCTCCGCAAGGCCACCCTGCTCCTCAACAGGCGGTCGGTGCAGACCTTTGAGCAGCTCCTAGCAGACATCTCGGAAGCTCTGGGCTCTCCACGATGGAAGAATGACCGTGTGCGGAAGCTCTTCACCCTGAAGGGCCGGGAGGTCAAGAGCGTGTCGGACTTCTTCAGGGAAGGCGATGCTTTCATAGCTATGGGCAAGGAGCCTCTCACCCTGAAGAGCATCCAGTTGGCTATGGAGGAGCTGTATCCCAAGAACCGGGCCCTTGCCCTGGCCCCACACAGCAGAGCCCCGTCCCCAAGGCTGAGGAACAGACTTCCCAGCAAGCTTCTGAAAGGAGGCCACCGCTGTGGGGAGGTGGGAAACTGTAACGAGGTTATGGGAAGCAGGACAGTCACCAGTCATCAGGGCAAGACCCCTACGGAGCTGGCCCTGGAAGACAAGGTGAGGGCCCAGAAGAAGTGGGTAAGAGGGAAACAGGAGCCAGAACCTGGTGCCCTGCCACCACCCACGGAAGCCACTTTGGAGGAGACTCATGCAGGTGGGGAGAAGCATCTGGGGCTGGAGATTGAAAAGACTTCGGGGGAGATTGTCAGGTGCCAGAAGTGTAAGCGAGAAAGAGAACTGCAGCTCTCTCACGGCCTGCAGAGAGAGCCGTGCCCTCTGGGGATCAGTGAGCTGGACCTGGGGAGGGGTCAGAAGTGGGATTCCGAGAAGCTGGTGAGGACCAAGAGCTGCAGGAGGGCTTCTGAGGCAAACTCCACGGATGGAGAGGAAGGGCAGAAGGGCGAGAACCATCGGAGCAGCCCCAGGAATCCCCCTCAGGAGCTGAGGAGACTCAGCAACCACTCAGACAAGAAAGAGAACAGATGCTCCGAACCTCAGGAAAGTCACTCTCAGGGAGTAGCTAGGACCCAGAAGGACCTCGCAGAAGGTCCACCAGCCTTACAGGACGGGCTGGTGGATGCGCGGAAAGACTCCAGGCACACATGCAGGAACAAACATGGGGCCTGGCTCCTGAGGGAGCACCAGGCTGAACCCCCACAGCTCCCCAGGACCCGAGGGGAGGAGAAGGAAGCGGACCACGGGAAGAAGCCGGGTATGTCAGGAGGAAGGAGGACGGTGCTAGAAAAGGAGCCGAAGACGAAGCTGGAAGAGAGTAAGCCAGACCGGCCCAGTGGCCGGAAGCTGCGGCCGCTGGGCATCATCTCAGCTGATGTGGAGAAGCACTACGACATCGGGAGGGTCATTGGAGACGGGAACTTCGCTGTCGTGAAAGAGTGCAAACACCGCGAGACCAAGCAGGCTTTCGCGATGAAGATTATTGACAAGTCCAAGTTGAAGGGTAAGGAGGACATAGTCGACAGTGAGATCTTGATCATTCAGAGTCTCTCTCATCCCAACATAGTGAAACTGCACGAGGTCTATGAAACGGAAGCCGAGATCTTCCTGATCATGGAGTATGTTCAGGGAGGGGACCTTTTTGATGCCATCATCGAAAGTGTCAAGTTTCCAGAGCACGATGCTGCACTCATGATCACAGACTTGTGTAAGGCCCTCGTTCACATGCACGACAAGAAGATTGTCCACCGGGATCTGAAACCGGAAAACCTTCTGGTAAGTGGAGAGTTTGGCTGTTAGCAGAGAGGGTTATAAAATGTAGGCTGGAAGGAACAGCAGCTGCCCACCCTGTGTTACCTTTATGTTAGAGAATTATGGTACTTCAATGTGCTTAATTTCAGTACGTAAAACTTTGGTTATAGCTCCTAAATTGCTGAGTGAATTTGTTTTGATTGTTACGGAAATATAAGCCTTTTGATTTAAACAAGTCAGGAAATGTTTCCTCTTCCCTAGGAGATGGTGACCATGTGACTTAATTTCTTGAACATTTGCACATCCTCTAGTACAGGCAATGAGTGTCTGCTGGTGGTGGCTTCTCCCTCAAGCTTTGCAGCTACCATCTGACCCCCTCCTTGAGTCCTCTTTGAGAACAATGCTTTGCCAAGGAGTTTCCAGTCTGCAGAGCTGGAGAGACCTGTGTGAGCATTGCATGAGGCTCCTGGCTTCTATGCTGTGATGAAACACCACCGCCAACAGCAAACTGGGGAGGAAAGTGCTTAATTTGGCTTTTGCTTCTACATCACAGTTCAACACGGCAGGAAGGCAGGACAGGAACTCAAAAAGGGCAGGAACCCGGAGAAAGGCAGGCGCTGATGCAGAGGCCATGGAAGGTGCTGCTTACTGGTTTGCTCCCCATGGCTTGCTCAACCTGCTTTCTTATAGAACCCAGGACCACCATCCCAGGGGTGCATCCGCTATGGACTGCATGCTCCCCCATCAATCACTGATTAAGAAAATGCCTTACAGGCTCGCCTACAGCCTGGTCTTATGGAGACACTTTCTTATTTGAGGTTCCCTCTTCTAGGATGACTTTAGTTTATGCCAAATTGACATAAAATCCCCCAAATTTGCTTCCTGGTTTTCTTGGTTTCTTTCTCTAGATGAAGTCCTTATCCTTTCTGGACCTCAGTGTTGTGTGACTTTTCCTAGGTAGACATGAACAAAAGCCTGTGCAGTCCAGACAGGTCACAAGTGACAGGCAAAGAAATGATTCCCACCAAGTTTAGCTTAGTGGACCAATGATTTTGTTAGCGTTACCTAGAGGAGTGTGACTGAGAAGCTACCTAGAGGATTGTGGGAAGTTAAAAGGCAGCTGTATCCCAGCTCATCCCAGCAAGGGTGATGGTGAAGACTCACCCAAGCTACACCCTGGGGTTCTGCTCAGCCTAGGGCAGCTCTGCAGAGACTCTCTTCTCCTCTAGCAGGTGTTTGCCACTTTTCATAAAACCTTGGGGAGGGATGGGGATGGGAGGGAAAACGGACTTCCTGTGTCTTGTAACTTTCTAAGCTTCATGAGTCTTAAGAGTCTTCCTCTTTGACCTAAGATTGAAGGTTTTGATTAGAAGGAAATAGCTGCATAACACATAGTTTCCTGATTTATTTATTTATTTATTTATTTTACTGATGCTGGAGAGATGACTCAGTGATTAAGGACACTTGCTGCTAGAGGACCAAGCATCCATGCTTGGTACCTCACAACTGCCTGTACCTGCAGCTCCAGGGGATCCAACACCGCTTTTAAACTGAACACATGTATGCATGCACACACAGATAATATACTCACATATATACATTATTAAGCAACCAAATATATTTAAAATTATTTATTAATATTAATATCAATGTGTGTGCATATGTGTGTGCACGTGTGTGTGTGTGTCAAAGAGAGAGAGAGAGAGGGAGGGAGAGAGAGAGGTGGGGATGGGGCATGCATGAAATGGCATCACGTGTAGAGGTCAGAGAACAACTTTATGGAATCAATTCGCACTTTTTACCTGTACTTCGTTTCCAGGTTGGTCTGTCAAGGATCCTCAATGGGCCATCCTTTTGGCTCTAGTTTCCTGATTTAATAAGAAAAGAACACTAACAGCAGTATCTTGGGAGGCTGAGTGAGAACAGACACGTGAAAAGCAGCAGCCCCTGCCATGGAGTCAGCACACGATTCCTTGGCTGTGGCACTCCCTTGTTAAACATAAAAATGTCACAGTACACATACTTCCCATAGGGCCACTCAGCATCTTGGGTGGATCAAGACAAAAACAAATCCCTTTGTCATAATGTCGGGAATCATTGTTCAAGCTGTGAATGTGGTTACGTGTCCCTGTGACGACTATCAGAGACTGTTGCTTCATCTTCCCACCTTCAGAAGTAATCAGGACACACAATCATAGACAGCCAGGGTGGTGTTACACACCTGTGACCCCAGCACTTGGGAGGAAGAGGCAGGGGGATCAGGACTTGAAGGTCACCGTTGGTTATTTCAAGGACTAGCAGGGTCTTTTTAATGGCCTATCTTTTTGTTGTTTGTTTTTTGAGACAGGGTTTCTCTGTGTAGCCCTGGCTGTCCTCCAGCTCGCTCTGTAGACCAGCCTGGCCATGAACTCAGATGATAAATAAGCCTGTCTCTGCTTTCTGAGAGCTGAGATTAAAGGTGTGTGCCGCCACCTGCAGGCCAATGCCCTATCTCGACTGCGAGACACCATAGAATGACTCATCCGGACCCTGTCCAACCCAAAGTCATACCCTGTTTTCGTGGAGCTGCAGGTACAGGCAGTTGTGAGGTGCCAAGCATGGATGCTTGGTCCTCTAGCAGCAAGTGTCCTTAATCACCCAACACAGTTCCAACCTTCTAAGTGTTTTGGGTGCTCTCTGATTCAGACCAGGATCCCAGCCAAGTATTCTCTCTTACTGCAGTGAGCTAATGAACCCAACATGTCTTATAAGTATGCCCCTAGGAGTCTTGGTCAGGACAACAAATCTCACGCTGTCACCATCTGGAATCTTTGTCTCATTTTCTTGGTCTAGCCTTGGCTTGGGTTCAGGTCCTGAGGTGGGGAAGGGGCATCGGCACAAGGAAAACTTCTGATCAGCAAGTGAGTTGCACTCATGTGGCTCCGAATAGCTCAGGCTGTCTTTATTTATACTTATCAAGAGTTTTTCTTACCAGGGTTACATAAACAGCTTTATTATTGGCTTCTATTTTTGACTTTAAGAAATACATCATAATTTAAGGACTACATAGTGATCACTATGAATGCCCCCATTGTTCCCCTTTATGTGTCTCCAGTACACCTTCCCACCCCCAGAATAACTTTATTCTAGATATAGAATTTAGCATTTTTGCAGGCCTAACTAAATATGGAGCCAGACACATTTGCTCTGGCTGCACACTGTCAGCTGATAGCGACTTGCGATTACAAAGTTAAAACGTAATAGACATGGGAACAATGCTTTAAGGACAACATTTTCAAACCCAGATTTTTTTCATGTCTGCAAGATATATTTTTATAGAGTTTCCTTTTCTACAAGAGGGCCCCATGTCTCAGTCTCTCTGTAAAAGGCAGGCTTTGACTAAGCCCTCTTTCCCCATCCCATTATACCATACTTCTCCCACCAATGTAAGCTCCTGTGTATGGTAAAGATGGATCTCTCCACCCCACATTTTGCACTATAGTTAGTTTTTCCTCTGGGAGCATACCAGATTCTATGCTTGCTGTGCAGGTAACGTACTCTCAAGAGCTGGCCCTTTGTGCATTCCTGAGGTCCCCCCGCCTGCCCATTGTGTGTAAGCATACCCTATTCTCCATTGCAGAACTGTGAGGCACGGTTAATGCTCCAAGTGTTGTTTTCTCATATGTATCTAACTGTCTCTCTTGAGTCAGAAAAGTTCCCAGGCTTGGGATTTATAGTTAGTGTTCAGATAAGAGATTTGAGAAGCATTCACCCCCTGTTGAATCTTAGGGGAAAATATTCAAGAAAGAATAGAATTTCCAGGGAAAATTAGAGCCATTGCACATGTGACTGAAACTAATATCCACCCAAAGAATCACCAGTATAGTGAGAGAGAAAAGAACCTGCACACTGCACGAATTTTGAAAATTCCTACGCTGTCATGTGGACTACTGGTTCTTGCCCAACCGAGAGTCTGTTTCCACAGATGCTTTGCCCGCTGGACAGGTAGTCATATCCCGATCTGAGATTGGGCTACACAGTTCCCTGTTCCTGACAGTTGTGATCACACCCGACAGGTTCTGATCACACCCGACAGGTTCTGATCACACCAGATGGGTTCTGACCACACTTGACAGGTTCTGATCACACCTGACAGATTCTGATCACACCTGATATTTTCCATATCTCTCATTTTAAGAAAATTATTAGGGGGCTAGAGATATGGCTCAGTGGCTAAGAGTACACAGTCTTTCTTGTTACTATTTCTGTGTCCTCCAAGGTTACTGGCCCTGGATCTTCTGGGAACTTCTCCTGTCTCTGTCCCCACCTTCTTGTAGGAGTGCTGGGATTGCACATATGCCCCTGAATCTGGCTTTTTACATGGTTTCCAGAGATTGAACTCACATCATGAGGCTTGAACAAGTGTTTAGTCAACAGAGTCGTCTCCACGGCTCAACATCTCCTTTCGTTTTTTCCTTCTCTGCTGGAAAGACAGGCGCAATTTTGTTCAGACTCCACCATGAACCTGAGAACGATTTTGCCATCTGGCAGAGACAGTTAACAGACGTTAGTTGGATGCCGCCATTGCATGCTACCTGGGAAACAACAAGCACTCCTTTGGCTGCTGATTCCGTTGAGGTCAGCATCTAAAGGCCTATGGTCCCCAGACACTTATCATGAAGGTGCACTCAGAGACAAGGCAATAGTGCATGGAGACAGTTATGCCAATAAGCCACTTGTTTTTTGGATGGGGAAAGGGGTCAGGAATTTAGCATGTTTCCTTCCATTTGCAGGGCTGCAGAGCTGTGTCTGTGAACTGCCCCTATGAGCAGGCTGCAGGCAGAACGAGACAAGCTCGTTTTCCAGTGAAATGAGGCTTATGTTGACCATTAACCCAGGCACTCATGTTTTTGCCAACTTTAATAGAATTGCAAGAACAATCTGGCTGGTTGCCTGCATGGTCCGAATTAGTCTTCACCAGAGAAATGGAATTTTTATATTGGTTGTCCTTGTCACTTCTCTGATGCTTTAAAAAATATTATTAT